ACACACACACACACACACAGAAAGACACACACACACACACACAGAAAGACACACACACACACACACAGAGAGACACACACACACACACACACACACACACACACAGAAAGACACACACACACAGACAGAGACACACACACACACGTTAAAAAGATTCCACATCAGAACATAACTGGGAAAATTTGACAGATAATGTAATATTAATATAATAATGTAAAACTATTAAATAATTTACAAAAGCTCTTAATGTTGAGAATAATCATTGTGTGCATTAAAAAGAAACCTAAAAATTAAAAAAATGTAATTAATATTTTGTAAAACTATTACTTTAAAGCAAGACATTGCACGTGAAAAAGAATTACTCCTAGATATCACCACATTTCCACAGCTGATTAATTACAATAAGAATTGCAAGCATTTTTTGCATTAACAAGTTTTCTGAAATGTTTTAATATGCAAACGAGGCATATCTAATTAAATATGCACTAATTTTAATACATTTCCAGAAATCTGAACACTGGATAAAGCCAGGCTTTAAAGAGTAGAAGTAAATTAAATTATAAATGTAATAAATGCATAAATATATCCAATAAAGCACAAATACAGAAGAGTAAAAAATATATGTAGCATAAATATTGAGCAAATAAATATTTACAAAAGTAAATAGTAAATATCAGTGCTGTTACCATGAACTGAAAATAAAACAAACTATACTCAGTAATTGAAATACAAATATAAAATTTATATAATAAAAATTAACAAATATAAATTTTATATGAAACATTTTTAAGTGTAAATAAAAATGAGAAATGTTGCCTTGGCAACTAACTGAAGTAAAAAAAAATTTTTAACTAAAACTAAAACAGAAATAAAAATAAATTAATAAATAAAATAAATATAAAGAAATAAAAATAAATATAAATTGTATCCAAATAAATATGCACGAATTTGCAAATAATTCCAGAAGACAAATCTGAACACTGGATAAAGCCAGATTAAAAATTCTGGTTTGATTTTATCGTCAATATTAGAGTTAAAGGTTTTTCCAGAGGGGATTTTGGATTTCTCTTTTAATCACTCCATAAATCAGAAAAGAATGTCAACAGCTGTTTTTAGGAATAAAATGTTGTATAAAGCAGTGTGAATGATATATAAACAAACCCCTCGGTAAAGTTTTGCTGTACGTACGTGCTGCTGAAGTGGAGACAAAAAAAGATGCAAAATAGATAAAGTGCAATAAAATAAACACCTAAAAGTCTATTTTGCATGCTTTCCTTCCACTAGTCTGAAGACATGTTATAAAAACCCCAAAACTGACCAGTGCATGAAAAAACAATGCACCAGATCCTTAACGAATCAAATGTCTGAGGCTAGCGCCATCTAGTGGCCAAAAACACTTCAAGACACGAGCGGGAGAAAGCCAGCCAGCAGATCTGATTTGACTGAAAGAGACCGTATGGACTGAAGAGCTGCGAGTGAATGAACTGTAAACCGTGAGCTTTATTTCCCACCTTCCTCCAGCAGCGTCTCCGGCCTCTCCACGGCGCGGCTGATCTCAGGCTCATTACAGCGCTTCATGGGATCCTGGGTAAAGGTGGCGAAGGAAGACTCCTGACTGATCTCTAGGATAGGACTGTGAACATAAAACACAGACAAACAAAAAGATTTAGATCAAGACTCGTCATAATTGGCAATAAATCAAATGTTCCTGTAGTTTAAACACGAGCAACGCCAAGGTTAAAGATGCAATGCATGTAAATTTGTATCTTCAATGCAATTCAAGTCGTTTTGGTTAAATCCATAAATGTAAAAAATGCAAATGTAATGTATTTATTTTCTAAATAAATGTTACTGGTCATTGTGTTATTGGGAATGGCATTTAATTTCTTAACTTTATCCACTTCTGAAATTACGGTGATATTTAAATTAATATTTTTATTAAAGGAAATATAACATGAAGTCCACCATAATCCACTACATTCCCGATTGGTTTCTCTTGGAAATTAGTTAGATAACAGACCATAAATGCAGTTTCACACTATATTAGGGCAAATCTCACAAAACCAGTAAAGAACTTGTAATATTTGGTGTTAATTTCACCACAAAAAAAAAAAAAAAAAAAAAAAAAAAAAAAAAAA